GTCCTGTCTTCCTAAATTTGGAGACAGATTCCATGCTCTGCTATTTTGCCTGTCTATAATTAACTGAAGAGTAAAATTAACAGGACTTTGATCAGCATCTCTATTGCTAATGAAAATTTGTGCCAGTGGTGAAACTGATCAGTATGTCAATTTCATTGCAGCTGCTTGGAGAAGACAAAAGTACCAGAGCCAAACACTGAAAGTTACTTACTGGGGAGGACATAAAGAGAGAATAGGCAAGGAGCAAATTAGCAAAGACCCACCCTAACTTTCACGAAACTCTGGAATGGAGGGCTTTGTTTTGTTTTTTTGTAATCAGGAGACAATTGGGGTTTTCAAATTTACTGAAAATAGAGTCCCAATCAGGGTTGAGTTAGAGCACTCTCCCCTTTTACAATAGGTGGGAATTGTAGATAAATTAGCTGTCTAACCAGAGTACTCCCTCTGGCCACCGCTGGTGGTTCTTTTCTGCTTTCTCACTCCCCCCCCCCCCCTTAAAATAAAAAGGTCTATACTTGATCTTCACTTCTGGCTTGTCAGTATCTGGTAAATGTTTAAAGCCATGCTTGCAATAAAACAAAAAAGGACCTCTCCTTAGAAAGTTTCCACCATGAAGGAGAGAGATGTCCAAATGCTCCTAAAATAGCTTCAGAAAAATTAATCTTATGCCTAGAACTGCCTTTTCTTATTATCAGAAGCCAGTGCTGATTCTAAGAATGCCAAAGTAATATTTCAGTTTCCTTAGATTTAGAAGGAAGGTCATTCTTCAGAGAAGCAATTATAGAAAAGGGAGGGGGGGGGGGAGGAAGGATGGGGGGAAATCCCATCTCACCTAACCAATCAGAAGAGCTATTCAACTAACACAGGAAAACCAGGCATAATCAGCACAGCCTTCTAGAAGGGGAGAAATGTCACAAGATTTTTTTTTTTAAACTATCTCCACTGTGTGAGCTATCATAAAGAAGGATAAGGAACATTTATTTCTTTATATGGTGCTATAGCAGTTTTTAAGAAAACCTACAAATATCATGTTCAATGTTATTGGGTTAATTTAAAAGGATTCAACTACTGGTAATTGTTTTGGAGCTATTAGATGGAGTATTCAGATGAACTCACCAAAACTGTTAGAGCTTTTTAACTCAATAAAGGGTTAGGCATACAGACCAGTGAACATTAATTTAAAAGCAAAAGACTGAAATGAAAATCTAATTTTAAAAAATGTTTCTATTTCATTCAACACATCAATCCTGTAATCTTGCTGTATTTTAGTCAATAACTAAGCAACTGTCAATATGTAAAAGGAACAGTTTGAGCTGACCTCTGTTGCCAAAGTTTCTTTACAGGGAAAATCTAAACAAAAATAATGAGAAAGTGAAATTATCCATAAGAATAATTCCAATTACAGGTAATAAATTAGATGCATTTGCAATGATACAATTAAAACACACAGTGCCATATAAAACTTTATATAAAGTTTTGTATTTATAATATTAAACCTCATGGGCTAAAATCAGAGTTTATACAGAAGTTCAAATTGACCCCAAAATTTGAAAGTCAAGATGAGTTCTTTCCTTCTTGTGTATTGCCATCAGCGAGAGATCAGAATGGCCAAATTATGTCCTCAGTGACCCTTGTTCAACCCCACTGTCTTCAAGGGGTTTTCACTGGTTATTGACCCTGTAATTGAAAGAACTAATCACTAACAAAAGCAAATATCAAGCAACCATAGGCTTTGATAGAGAGATGACTGAATACACAAAAGGTCAGATCTGTTGAGTTAGAAGGTGCTATTTTTGCAGGGTTTTTTCAGAGTAGAATACGTTTTAAAGCAGCACCCAAAGTTTAAGGTGGTACTAAAGAGAAAAACTCTCAATTAACAGAAATACAAAACAAAAAGAAACAATCTTTTATGGAACATAACACTCCTTAAAAAGTATTTGACAGATAGTTCCATTACAGGAACAGTAAATCAAGGGTTGAGCCAGTATCGAAAGAGGATATTAGACTCAAAACAACTACTATACTAGGAAAATTGCTCCCAACCTTAAAGTATTTAATCTAATTTGAAGTTTAATACATTTACTTTATAATGTGAATAAAAATCTTGTGCTACGATGTTTGAATTACACACTGAAAGGATAA